TCTCTTCTCTTCTCTTCTCTTCTCTTCTCTTCTCTTCTCTTCTCTTCTCTTCTCTTCTCTTCTCTTCTCCCCTTCCCCTTCCATCTTGACTCATGGTGACTTTATGGGCAGCTCCATGCAGTTTTCTTGGCAAGATTTCAGAAGTGGTTTTCCATTGCCTTCTTCCATAGGTTGAGATACAGTGACTGGCCCAAAGTCACCCAGCTGTTTTCTGTGCCTAAGGGAGGACTAGAACTTGTGCCTTCTCAACTCCTGTTCTGCCATCTTAACTACCAGACTATTGGCTTATAACTTAGCCGTATTATAGTCTTCATTGTTTTTAATGTGCTGAATATAAAGTTTTACTTGTGATGGCGCTAAATTAGTACCTTCCCCCTGGCTGTTTTCTGTTGATTTCCTCTTCTATTGTGGTCTTCTATGTTGGCAGAAGCATCCTGAAGATTTAGGAAATGTTTTAGGGAAAACAAGGAAATTCCTTAAAATTGTTTGGGTTTTTTTTCTCATGCCATTGGTTAAAGTATTCAGTGGATCAGAGTTTTCCATCACTGAAATAATGTCAAATCAAATACAGTAACTATTTTCAAGTAGTTAAGAAGTATTTCTTTTGGGTCCACCTTTGACATTCTAGTGCGCCGGATGGCCCTCTACTTCCATAATTCCCAGTCAGCCAGTTCTTCATGGAAAAGTCATGAAGAAGTACTGTCTTATAATGATTCCTTAGTGAAGTGATAGTACTTTCCTTACTTTGTTCAGTTCCGGATTCCTTTTGTTTCTTTTCTGATTAAAAAAGGATGAATCATCAAGTCATGAATGCAACCAGCGCATGATACTTCTTTATGGTGTTGGCAAGGAACGTGAAGAGGCAAGGCATCAACTGAAGAAGATTACCAGAGATATCCTGAAAATCTTAAATAAGAAAAGCACTTCTGAAATGAGTGGTAATTAACTGTTGGTGTTTATCTTGCAGTGCACAGAACAGCACAGTTGTGGGTTGAGAAAGGGCATCTTGATAAAGTTTGCAAGTGTTTTTGAAAATAACTATTTTCAGACTGTTGTAAAGCATAACATATAAACCAATTATAATTGGCTTGAAATTGTCTTTCATAACTAATTTAGAAAATGTAAGTATATACTCTATAAGGATTTTATAACCAGAAGTTACTATCTCATCCTGAAGCCAAGTATATGAACTTCAAAATATAATAAATTGTACGGGATGTTTCTTTCTTTCTTTTTTTTTTTAAAGCTAAGATGGTTTTCCACACCAGATTGCAGGCAATGTAATTTCAAATTCTTTGTTCTGAAATAGATATAGAAGTAAATTTTCATAAAATTTGCATTTGAAATAGAATATGACTTTTATTTACTACAAAGCATAACAAATGTGAAAATGTGTTTTAGGTGGTGATGAAGGTCCAAAAGTCAGGAAGAACAAGCAAGAGGCATTTCCAACTTTAGAGACTGTATTTACAAAACTTCAGCAGCTCTCTTACTTCGACCAGCATCAAGTGACAAGTCAGGTACTTTTTAAAGTTGCCATCTCTGCAATTTCTGTGTGTTGAAGCTTGAGTGTTGTGGAGAGGTAAAAAGTTCATCACAGGAAAAGGACTACTAAAGGAGTAGGACAGGGCAGGATTAATGAGGAGAATATCAGTTTGGGTGTGTATGTGTGTTTCTGTGTGTACAGAAAAGGATTGGGCTGTGAGGAGATGCTAGAAGGTGGATTTGAGGTGAGTGGGTGGTGAAAACAAAGAGAAAGCATTCCAGACTTACTAACTAACTGCATCTTGTAAATTCTTTTGAATTACATTTTCATCTTTAGTTCATCTGGAATACTTCTAACTAAGGTCTATATCTATGATAGATTTAAACCCCATGATTTAAGCCATAGTTAATGGAGTTTCCCTATGTCATTTTAAATCACAGTTGCTATGAACTTAAGGGTCTTGATTCATGCTCTAGTCATCACCAAACAATTAGCCAAAGTCTGCATGTTTAACATTTTCCCAACTGCCCATGAATAGCTGGAGGTGTTTGCTTTGATGCCAGACACAAAAGAAAAGAGACACAGCAGCACTGCAAGCTTGTTTCTGTAATACTTTCATTGTGTTTCAGCAGTAAGACAGAATGTAAATCATCCTCACCACACTATTTTGTTTCAGTGAGAGCTGTGTTATTTCATCTTGGAAAGCTGGTTTTTCTTGAGATGCATTCTATCTAAATCCTTATGGTAATGGTGATGCAGGTTAAAGGGTTTGGAATTCTTCTAGGGCTCAGCCAAGAAGAAAGTCAGTGCTAGGACATTTTTTGTCTCTTCTGACAAAAGATGAGAACTGGAATTGTGTATTGACTGCAAAACTTAGCTTGAGGACAATTTGGCATTTTTGAGGAAGAAACTGCTTCAATTGGGAGTATATCACTGCTTTACCTTGAGCGTGGTCTGACCTGAGATCTGCCGAATAGCATGAAAAAAACATACATATGACTGCAACAGAATTGGATAATAATACAAGAACGTTAGAAAATTACAAGGAATGGTGAATTCCTAGTTTTAGATTGCACAGTAGACAGAACTAGGTAACTGCAAATGTTACTGAATTCTGTCCACCCAAAACAATGCTTAATTTAATTAATTAAACATTGTTTTGGGTGGACAGAATTTGGTAACATTTGTAGTTACATCTGTCCCCCACAGCAGGAATACGTTTCACACAAAGAGGTGAAGAGAAAGTAGAGTGCTTACAAATTTGGAAGTTAGTAAGAAAGAATAATTAATCTTCCATATTTATTCATCAGCAGTGTAATGTTGTCTGTGCTCAAGAGCAAAACAGGGTTAGTACTTGGATGGGACAACATCATGGAATTCAGGACCGTAGACTAGACTCATCAATCAATGGCAAACCACTCCAAATTGCATGGATGTGTCCACTTAATAACCAGGAGTTTAGCTTGATTTGAGGATTTACTTTAATGTAATAAAAAAGGTGACATTTGTCAAGAAATTTGCCTAATTTCAGAGACTTTATTACAATTATTTTGTTGCTTTGGGAAATAATTATATAGTCATATTTCTTAGAATATGACTATTTTATGCTCATCATTTAGAGAGGGTTTCTAAATATAAAACAACTGATTCTCACCTATAGCAAGTATTTTAATTTAGAGATAAACTTTAAAATCTAGTAATGGTTTCCTTAGATCCTCCATACACTGCAATGGGCATTTATTTATTTATTAGCAGTATTTTTAGGCTACTTTTATCACACGACCAGGCAGTGTTGAAAACATAAAAGCAATATGAGATCCTATCCCAGTATAACATAGAATTAAATTCCCCCTGTCCCAAACCCATTAAAATATATAAAAAAAGAAACAGCAGCATCGGAGTCACCATTAACTTTTGAAAGTTGTTTTCATGCCTTTATAAATGACAACAAGGGGGCCACACACATCCCTGGAAGGAAGGTATACCAAAGTGTTGGGGCTACCACAGAGAAGGCCTAACTTCTGATTTGTAGCCCCCCCCCCCAATAAGTTGTCAAACAATATAGCCACTGAGAAAATGACTGCAAGACAATGAATATATGCATAACTGAACTTGCCAACCAATATCATGTTCAGTGGAGCAGAATGACCACAATGACAGTACACATTTATTTATTTATTCATGCACGCCTGCCTTTGAGCCATTCTTGACCCATGGTGACTGCCTAGAGAAGGCCCTGCAGTTTCTTTGCAACATTTTTCAGAAGTGGTTTGCCATTGCCTGCTTCCTAGAGCAAAGAGAGAGCGACTGGCTCAAGGTCACTCAGCTGGCTTTGTCCCTAAGGCAAGACTAGAATGTGCAGTCTCCCAATTTCTAGCCCAGTGCTTTTAACCACTACACCAAACTGGTTGTCATTTGAATTATTTAGATGGTAGTATACATTTCTATTGCCTGTATAATAATTCTGGGGAAAATGTCATGCAGTTTCATGTCTGCTCCAAAGAAGCTAGGAGCACAATTCATTGTCTCATGTGGCATTACCTGGAAGTCATTTCACCAATAAACAGAAGCCATGAAAACCTACACTCTGTAAATATATTCCTTTTAATGCATCCAGCATCCACCCTTTTCCAGGGCTTCAAAACATCAAATCATTCATGAAGCCTCGTTTTCAGGTTCAGTCTCTTTGTAGAGATTCAGTTTCACCTTAGGCTACAATTTTTTTCTGAACCAAATTAATTTCTCTGTAACTTTATATCCCCGCCCCCACTGCTTACAGTTACATGTATGTATGTTTGCTAATTCTTTGCTGTACTGGTTCCCATAATGCTTTACTTTGCTAATAGGTCTGTCTGTTTTTAAACAGATCTCCAACAATGTTCTGGAGCAGATTACTAGTTTTGCATCAGGAACATCATACCATCTTCCACTAGCTCATCACATAGAATTTATCTTTGATCTAATGGAACCTGCTTTAAATATTAATGGACTTATTGACTTTGCTGTTCAGGTACCCGAATGAAGTTTATATATACATATTTATTTAAATTATTTTTATTCCGTCTTTAAGAATAAGTCCTTGTACGAAAACTAAAAAAAAGATTTAAATCATTACTTTCAAGAATTGAACAAAGACTTGATAAGTTCCCTTCATTCCATTTAATAATATGGAAATGTTCCTAGCCAGTTTTTATGGAATAAATGATAGTAAATGCTAGCATTCAGTAGAATCTTATTCTGCATTGTCCACATTAGCATCTTGGAAAATAATTAAATATTATGAAATGGAAGAAAAGAATTCATACCCAACTCAGCTTCAGACCCTACGGTGCTAGGCACCCTGTCCATGGAGAGGGAGTGGGATCCAAAACGGCAAGTTGCAGCAGCATGATTGAAGCCCCTCCATTTTGCATGTTCATGTGACATCAACCCACATACAAATGTGATGGGACTTTTCTTGCCCCTTCCTGTGGATGCCAGTGATAGTAACTTTAGCGATAAATGAGTAAATGGCCAGTGCATATCCATCCCAGTGGCATGGTCGCGTATTTCCATTCTCAGCTAAAATAATAAAAAGAATCTAATACCTCTGAAATGGCTTTCGCTCTTGAAGCGAGGAAACTACATAACATTTACAATAAGAATTACAATAATGTACTTTATTCAACTCCAGTAATACAATTTCTGGTATTAAGAAATACTTACCTCCAGAATTTGTTCTTGAGAGTTGAAATATTTCATACTCAGTTCACTTTTGTATATTTTAATGACTGGTAAATCTGTTCTTTGAAAGAGAAGACATAGAACTTTGTTCCACGTATAGAATTTTGTATATGGAGAGAAAAGTCAAAGGCTTCTCAGATGAGGGAAGAGCCTTGTGGATAAGTGACTTGCCTGAAGAGTATTTATATTTCTGTCTCAAAACTATCATATTTATTTGTTTATTTGCAACATTTATGTAGCTGCCCATCTAATATTGAACTCTGGGCGGCTCCCAACCAACAGGTAAAACAACATCAAAAATAAAACAACATAATACACACATATATCTATTAAAAACCACAAACATTAAAAACCTGGCACCAAAGTTAAGCTTTCACATGCAGTCCATCACTAAATCCTCTCGCCCATCTTAGCCTATCCCAGCGCTTGGGGGAAAAACCAAGTCTTAATGCTTCTCTTTGGGGAAAAAGGGATTGCTCTTTGTAAGAGCATTTATACATCAGAGGAAGCCAGAATTATGGTCTTCTAATATATGAGCAATGTGTATCAATGCAGGAGTGTAAGATCAGTTTGATGATGCTTTCTGACTCCAAGTTTTCATGGGGACATCTAGAACAGACAATAATATGGATCCATAAAAATCCATGTTATATGAATGGCCTCTGCTGTGATTTGTTGAACATGCCATTCAGATCAAGAATGAAGTCTGTCTTCTTTGTTCTTGGTTCAGGTGACAACCTAAACAAACTATGGATGCAACTATATGAAATATGTTTGCTCCATTCCTTAGAGAAGGCCAGGACACTTCCTTTAGTGGATATGATCAAATCAGTGTGCGCTACAGCTCTTTTGATTAGGAAGCCAGCATTTTGGCTAGGTGAAAACACTCTGTATCTGCTTAAATCGTTAAACAACAACAACAACAACAAACATCTACAACACAACTCTGTGGCATTTAGGTTTAGAGAGGAATCCTAAAGTGATATTTAACCTTTTATTTTAGCTGCTGAATGAGCTGAGTGTGGTGGAAGCTGAACTACTGCTGAAGTCATCCAGCCTGGCAGGAAGTTATACAACTGGACTGTGTGTTTGCGTTGTGGCTGTGCTAAGGCATTATCATGCTTGCCTCATTTTGAATCCAGATCAAACTGCTCAGGTTTTTGAAGGGTTTGTAGTGGTAATGTTTTTCAAAGACTACTTAGTTTTCTAATGTTAGTATGCTCAGTGTGTAAATAGCATACAGTGTTATTAAAGAGCTTTATAGGAAATTCAACACCTTAGTGTAATCAGAAATGCAAAATCTTAATATAGTTAGAGATGCAAATATTCATTATTTCCCCAAACGAATAGATTTGAAAGGGCCTGAAGCAGCTTCATCTTTCAGCGAATGGCTTCTTTCAAGATAGAAAGTGATCTGGGAAGGAAGGTTTGAATTCTAATTTAATAGATAAATACATTTACAATGTGTTGGGCAGGATACATTTCTACATATATGAATTCTTGATTATATAGTGCATTCCAAAAGTATTCAGACCCCCTTCACTTTTTTCAATTTTGTTATGTTGCAGACTGATACTACAAT